ATTCATTCTAGACAGAACACTTACAGTATGATTCCTACAATGGCTGTAAGTGGAGATGGCCATGTGTTTTTATGGTTAAAATGTGACTACGTAGGGAAACTCCACACGTATCACTGTCTAAAGTGATAGGCATGCACTACTAAGATGCTTTGTTCCTCATACTGGGGAACTATGGGGAACCAATTCCCTGACCAATGTAATTGCTGGGTGTGCTGGTGTATGCCTATAATTCTAGTGTCTCAGGAGGCTGAAGAAGGAGGGTCAAGAGCTTAAGCCTGTCCTGGACAACACAGCAGGATTTTGTATAAAAACAATCTAGGCTTGATGGCATATGTCTATGGTCCTAGCTGGGAGGCTGAAGCAAGAGGATTATTACATGGCTAAACTATGTTCCATAAAGAAAGAAGGAAAGAAAGAAAGAAAGAGAGAAAGAGCTAAACCTTACTCTTAAAAGTAGAAAGTAAAAGTGTCTTTCTTTTTTCCTATTTCAGTTTCTTAAAGAAATGACCTTGCATATATCTAAAGAAACAGTTTCGATGGCATTCTTTGTTTGTTTTTAAATAATTATTTTATATAGCTATATTCATTTATTTATTTTTAAAATTTGAACAGAGAGGGACAGAGTGAGAGAGAGAGGGAAAATGAGAGAGAAAGCTGCTAGGTCCAGAACTCAAACCACAGTCAGCCATGTGGAAGTCCAGTGCCCTTAACCACCACACCAGCTGCTGGCCCCTCTATGGCATTCTTCTGTACACTTGTTATACCTTTGTATTCTCCATCTACTGAGATAGTTACCGGTCAGATTAATCCACCTAAATACATTGCTGTGATGGTGTTACTCTGCTGCTCAAAGACCTCAAATGGCTTCCCATTGTCAGTAAAATAAAGTTAAAAAATCTCTTTCCTGGCATCCAAGGCCTTTTAGAATTTGCCCCTGCACTTTCTCAGCAATGTATCTCCCCGACCTACCCCAGATAGTTGCTACCACTGTATCATTGCTCCTGTTCTCTTTTGTTTCTACATGTCAAAAATCATACCCATCCTTCATGGAAATATAAATTAGGATTGCCATTATTAAAACTAGTATGGAGGTTCTTTAAAAAGCTTCAACTAGGGACCAGCAGATGGCATAGTAGTTACGTTGCTGGACTCCCACATGGCTGACTATGGTTCAAGTCCTGGACCTGGTGGCTTGAAAATCATGCCAGACACATGTGCATATGTGCCCAAGATCCCAGGAGGAAAAAGGAGAAGAAGGGATTGTAGCATGGCCATCCCTCCTGAGGGGGTGATTTCTCACTTTCCCTCTCACTATGTCTGTCTTTGTCTCTCCACTGAGCACATGCACCCTAAGGCAAAAACTTAAAGAACAAACAAAAACTTAAACTAGCAATGTTGTATAATCCAGAAATTCTGCTGGATTTGGCATATATTCAAAGGAAAAGAAATTAGTTATGCCATAAAGGTATCTGGACTGCAACCAATATTTATTGCAGCACTAACCACAATAACTAAGAAAAGAAATCAACACAAGTGTCCATCAACAGAGACTAGATAAAGAAAATGTGTTATGTAATATTTTATATTTTTATTACATATATTTATATATTTTATAATATATGTTATGTAATCTATTAGGTCATCAGGAAAGTCATGACATATTTTTCTAGGCAAAAATGTATCATGACTCTCCTAACAACCCAATATATATACTCAGACACATAAAATAGAATACTATTCAGTCATTAAAAAAGAATAAAATCCTGTAATTTGAGGAAACAAGGATGACCTGGAGTACATTATGTTGAATGAAATAAACCAGACACAGAAAGAGAAGTACTGCATGTTCTTACTAATATGTAGAAACTGAAAGACATGACCTCATAGAAGTATGGAATAGAAGACTACTAGAGGATGGGAAGTGTAGGTGGGAGAGGGGGATAGAGAGATATTGGTTAATGGGAAAAAAAATACAGAGATGAGAGGAACAAGTTCAAATGGTACAAAATAGAGTGGGGTCATATACTTAATGATCATTTATGTATAACTCAGAGTACCTAAAAAGGAGGATCATTGAATGTTCCCATCATAAAGTAATAACAAATAGTTGAGATGATGGATATATTAATTACACTGATTCGATAATTACACATTTTATTCTTGCACTGAAAAATCACATTGTAACTCACAAATATGTACTCATTATATGTCAATAGAAAAACACACTTACTTACCTTTCAAATGCAATTTACTTCTTTTATCATGTCTTCTAAAATATTCAGAGTAAGTGATCCCTCCCCTTTTTTTCTGAATACCCAGCACCTTTCTTTTTTAGGGGAGGAAGAGGAGGACCACTTAAACTGCACTTGACACAAACTATCTTGTGTTACTTTGTGTTTGTGGTTGAAATCTCTTTTTCTTTCTTAAATGAAAACTGGGTAGGGACTGCAGGAGACCTGTCCCTTTTTTGTTGTTGTTGTTCGTTTGTTTGTTTTTAGCTTGTTGTAGAGTGTGTGTGCTCACTGGACAGGGAGAGAGAGAGAGAGAGCGAGAGAGAGAGAATGAGAAATCACTCCCCAAGTGATCCCTTCTCTTCTATTCTTCTCTTAGAATTTTGGACTTGCATGCACACATACCTGGTGTGATTTTCAAGCAGCCAAGTCTGGAGCTCAAACTGCTCAGTTAGCCGTGTGAGATCTGGCTGCCTCAACTTCCATGCCATCTAGTAGCTCCAAGGGGCTTGTCTTGTCCTTTTATTCTCATTTCCCCATTATAACTATTGTAGAGTCAAGTGACTGAAAAAGCTAGATCCATGTTTGGGTTTGTCCTAAACAGATAAATCCCATGAGACTCTAATCTTTTTACTTGTGCTTATTTGTAAGCATTTTGTTCTAAGAAGCCTGGACATGTTGGAAAAGAAAGGGTATCTATAAAATAAAGGTTGTAGGGACCAGCAGTTAGTGTAATGGCTATGTCACTGGTCTCCCATGTAGTTGACCACAGTTCGAGTCCTGGACCTGGTGGCTTAAACTCACACCAGGCGCGTGTGCATGCATGCCCAAGATCCTGAGAGGAGAATGGAGGAGAAGGGATTGTGGCATGGCCATCCTCCCTGGGGGGGATTTCTCGCTTTCTATCTCTCTGTCTCTCTCTGTCTTTCTGGTGAGTGCATGTGTCCTATAGCAGAAACCTCTTCAAAAAAAAATGGTTATAAAATAGAAGTTGACCAACTGAGTCTGACTTGCAGCTGTACTTTGTTGTTTTACACTGTGTTTTTAAGAAAATATCCACTAATTTTTAAAAACTTGAGAAATTTGGACCAACCTAGTTAGGTGGTTAGGTGCTATGCTTAGGAAGCTGGATCCCACATGGCTGACCAGAGTTTAAGTCTTGGCACTATTGTTCCAAAAATCACACCAGCTGGTTGCATGTGTGCCCAGGATCTTAATAGGATGAAGAATTGGAGGAAAAATGATTGTGGCATGATCAGGTCCGGTTGGGGAGTGCTTTCTCTCTCTCTTTCTCTCATGTTTATATGTACACATGCCCTCTAGCCAGCAGTTGGCATAATGGCTATGTTGCTGGACTCCGGTGTAGTCAAACACACACACACACACACACACACACACACACAAAATCAGAAGATCTGGCAACCTGAGCTTCATTCTCACACGGCAGCAATTCATTGGAGGTGAGAAGTCTTTGTACAAAGCCTCTGCTTTCTTGTTTGCCACAGAACTCAACTAGCCCACAGGCCACTTGCTTGTACAATCTGGTTGGCCCCTATAGGAAATGGAATCCGAGACTGATATGAAGGAGGAGATAGAGTAGGAGCAAAGAGAACCAATAAGGTCAAATGACGACTGTCTAGAGTGAAGATAAGATGCAGGATAGGCATTTTTGAAAACAAGGTGGAGACTTTGTTAAAAACATTCACATGAAGAGATACTACAGAAAAAAGAGAAAAAAAGTCAAGTACTATAAAACGTTTATGTCTTCCTGCATGGTGACACACGGCCATCATTAGCAATGTGTTGGGACTGAGTAGATCACATCAGTATCCACATGGAAGATAATCAAAATTGGAAAAATTACTAGAATCTTCTCCTGACATGAAAACCTTAGAATTGAGGACTGGGCTATCTTGCCACTGTGAGATGACTTAGACTTTTACAAAGCCTACCAGAATCTAGCAATGTTAGCACACAGTTATGGAAGCCCTTGTCTTGTTTCTGTGGAGGTTTTTTTCCTCAAAGCTGACTTCTCACTGACAACTAAATCTTACCTCCCCATTTACCTCACAGAGACCACCCTACTTGGTCACTAGTGGGCCCTGTTTCACCTGTATTCAGAATTAATGATCTGTACTACGATACTAATTTACCTCACTGCCACTTGGGAAGTTCTTAAAGACTTGTTTGTATCCTTCAATCTATTTTTAGTGAAAAGTCACCTGGGATTATTTCAGCTTTAGAAATGAGAAATATTGGGGCCAGCAGTTGGTGTGGTGGTTAAGGGTGCTGGACTCTCACATGGCTGACTATGGTTCAATTCCCAGACCTGGAATTGCTTTCTCACTTTTCTTCTCTCTCTTGCTCTTGCTCTCATTCTCTCACTCTGTCCCTCTCTGGTCAAATTAAAATAAATCAATAAAGTTAAATAAAATAATTATTTTAAAAAATAAATGAGAAATACTAAATAACAAATAGGTAAGAAAAAAGCATAAAATGGAAATGTAAAAATAGCATTTTCAGGTCATATGTGAAGATAAACCTTTAACTAGGTGGCCTTCTCCTTAGTTACAGAGCTTACACCTTCAGTTTACACCCTCTATCTCACTGCATATTCTTTCTTACTCTTCCACTAGGTCTCCTCATCCCTTCTTCCCCTCCCTCCTCCTTCTCTGTTGACAGAAGCCACAGTTAGGTCAGTGCAGGAAATGGGAAGGGATGACAGAAAAATTCATGCTGTGAAAAGGACTCCATTTGTCCCCAGCTCACCCAGTTCACTCTTCAAGGTGTGATCTAATGGGAGAATAGAGTGGGAGTTCCGAATATTTCCTCCTCCAACAAACCAGTTCACGTTGGGATTCCAGTGGTTCACAAAGCCACAGAGGTGATTTTCTTCAAAGTCGCATTCTGGTGGAAGAGAAATAAAAACACACTTCATGGAGACACAATCACACCTAGGTTCACACATATTCTCTGCAGAGTTTTCTCTTGGATGTTCAGATAGGTTTCTCTCTTCCTTTGCCAAGTGGAACCATTGTACCAGGACCCCTGGACAATATTAGTTAAAAAGAGGGACAGATCCTATAATAAATCAAGAATCTAATTCATTATTGCCCATTTCCACTTACTAGCCATGGGCTTGCAACATGAATTATCACCTCTCTTAGCTTTGTTTCTTCACATGTAAAATAAGAACAACATTCTCACTTTATAGGACTGTTGTATATGTGTACAGCTCCTAAAACAGGCCAGGCTCATGTTCAGTGCTTGGTACAAACACCATTTTTACAATCATCTCTGTTCCAAAACACTATTTAGAGTTAACGCTGTCAGCCCCAGAAATTTTGTCCACACCCCCTTTTATTTTTGGAGAGGTTTTTCGCTATAGGACGTGTGCGCTCACCAGACAGACAGAGAGAGACATAGAGATAGAAAGCGAGAAGTCACCCCCCAGGGGGGATGGTTACACCTCAATCCCTTCTCCTCCATTCTCCTCTCGGGCTCTTGGGCATGCACGCACACGCACCCGGCGTGAGTTTTAAGCCACCGGGTCCGGGACGCGAACCGGGGTCGACTATGTGGGAGTCCAGCGACATAGCCATTACGCTAACTGCTGGTTCCCTCCACACCCTTTCTTGAACTTAGTAGCCCAGTCTTCTCCTGATGATGAGCAAGATGCCCAGAGCTGAGAGGCATATTGCCTAAATGCTAAAATTCTTTACTTTTCTTATTCCAGTCAGAATAGGTGGGGAAGGCATATCCAGACTCTGGGTTTCTTCTGCACTGAGTGGAGAAGAGAGATAGATAAAGCAGGGGGTCCTCTGCTTTTTGTGGGCATTGACGTGTTCCATAGATAAATTGTGCCTCATCGAAAACTCCTTGAATTAGGACCAGCAGATGGCATAGCAGTTACATCACTGGACTCTTATATGACCTACTGCAGTTTGAGTCCCAGACCTGATGGCTTGAAACTCCAGGTGTGTGTGTGTGTGTGTGTGCATGTGTATGCCCAAAATCCCGAGAGGAGAATGGAGGAGAAGGGATTATGGTGTGGCCATCCTCCCTGGGGGATGATTTCTTGCTTTCTGTCTCTCTGTCTCTTTAGTGAGTGCATATGCCCTATAACAAAAATCTCTCAAAAAACCAAAACAAAACAAAAAACAAACAAAAAAAAAACATTTTTAATAGAAACAAGAAACTTACAAGCCAGTGCCTCCATTGACCCTATAACTCTGCAATTAAAAATATGAAAGATGATTGTTCTGTGCATCTCCATTTTCTGCTCAAGATCTGCCCTACTCTTCTCTGCCTGTTCAGTCTTCTGGAGGCTAACCTATAAGGATGGTGCCAGTGGGCTCCCTGCCTTCCAGCTTTTGATGGGATTTGACCAGTGTGGGGTGGGAGGAGAATAAAGTCAGAGGCTTATTTCCCCAACCCTCGTCCTGCCTGGTTGCCATATGTTGGCCATGTCCCTTTACTAAGAGCATGGCGCTGGTCAAGTAGCCCTCACCATATATAGTTACAGTCTCCAAGTTCTGGTAATTCCTCCTCCCTTTCCCTTTCAGATCCAACGAGGAAGAAACAGCTCATGAATTAGCACTATGACTAGTCCTGGGTCAGACTGCTACCCTTACTGGTTTTCTTTACCACTCATAGCTTTGTAGTCTCTTTAATGGACTTTCCTCAAATTACTCAAATTGGGTAGACCCTCTGTTTTCATCTTCCTGCCAGAATCTTACTGGTACAAGAAGAGATACAAAAAAGTGCATTAAAAAATAGAATTAAGGACCAGCAGTTGGCATAAGGACTATGTTGCTGGACTCCCATGTAGTTGGCCACAGTTCGAGTTCTGGACCTGGTGGCTTAAACTCACACTGGGCACGTGTGCGTGGGTGCCCAAGATCCTGAGAGAATGGAGGAGAAGGGATTGAGGTGTGGCCATCCCCCTTGGGGGGTGATTTCTCGCTTTCTGTCTCTCTGTCTGTCTCTGTCTTTCTGGCATGCGTACATGCCCTATAGCAAAAACCTTTAAAAAAATTAGAATTAAAGTATGAGTTTATTTCTTTTAAAAATTATTTTATTTATTTATTTACTTATTTTAATTTGACCAGAGAGGGACAGAGAAATAGAGAGAAAGAGTAACGGAAAGCGAGAAAGCAAGCCACCAGGTCTGGGACTCTAATTGCAGTTGGCCACGTGGGAGTCCAGCGCTCTTAACTGCCACACCACCTGCATGCCCCAGTATGTGTTTATTTTGAAATTCATGAATAGTTTTTCATAATATGTACTTTTCATTACTTTTTGAAGCTCCCTTTATAGTAATCAATGTGTTTTCACATTAGTAAACATTAGAAGCTTAAACATTTTTACGGTCAGTGTTTCTACTGCAGCATCTGCTAATCAGTTTTCAACATTCAGTGCCAAAGGCTGCCACAGAGTATAACAACACAAAATTGTTTTCTGTATGTCAGCATTTAACCCTCAAAACAGTCCCGCAAAGTAGATACCATTACTAACCTCATTTTATAGATGAGAAATCAAGAGGAGCAGCAGTGTCCACAAAGAAAGGAAAAGTGAGAATGTGATCATACAGCTTAACGAGACAAAAGTTTTGGCACCTCTCTCCCTTTCAGCAAGCCAGAAGCCACCGAATCATTTGAAGAAAAGCAACGAAGATTTTTTGAATGCCCAGCGCCATAGCAATCACCTTGTGATTACTGAGGACAAATGAAATATCCATGATCTAATTAGTTCTCACAAAAATCCTACCAGAGGAACATTTTATCCCCATTTGACAGGAGATGAAAGAGGCTGAGAGGCTCAGTGGGTTGATGGAGCCAGCAAGTGGCACTCCACTAGGTGAGTCTCACTAGTCCCTGTGTTGTCCAGGACCCACTCACATGCCTGGTGGGATCTAAAGGGAGGCTCAGTGAACGGAGCCTGGCTAAAAACTCACTGTATCTTCAGAAAATTTTCACTTTCCCATTCTATTTTTTTTCCCCACTTGCATTGGAGACATCATCGAAGGACAAAGCAGAGAAGTGAGACTTTAGGGAATTAGCAAAGGCTTCTTTGTTTAGAATTTGTCTTTGAGTCTCTTTTCTCTTCCCCTCAAAATCCATTTACCTTCCAACTACTATGAGTGCTGAAAAATCTTCCAGTACCACTGCCTTTTTCCTGTTCTGCACTAAACCCCCAATTTACCTTCATCATGCCGCCTGTAAGGTTGCAATTGCTTCCGAGGGGTTTTGCTAGCTCCTATGTATTTTCCTTGTCTCCAATCATTTTCCACATGGCAGCTGGAGTTCATCATCTGAAAAAGCAGCTGCTTGCCACATCCCTGCCAATGGACTTTAGTTCCTCCCAATCACGTAATTCAGTAAGCCCAAGCTTCCCATCCTGGATCACTCTTTCATAATAAACTCCCTTAGAAGTCCTGATCCTCACTTCAAACAGCCTACTCAACCTTTGCCTTTCCCTGAACATAGTCTCCCCACAGGAGTTTGCCTATTGAGAACTCTCTCCTTCCTACCCTGCATCTTCACTTGACTAAATTCTACTCCTTAAAATTCCAGCTCAAATGCACCTCCCCTATTCTTTCCTCTTCAGTTTCCTCTCCTCCTCCCTGTACCTCCAAAACACAGCTTGTCTTCTCTGGACGTATTAATCATATATAGAAAAACCTTCAGTGGCAGACAAGTACATGTGAGCAGACACAGGGCAGTGACTGTCCTCCCAGAAGCTGGCATAGAGACACCCAACCAGCCCTGCTCAAGTGGAATCTGAGGCAGCTGTGATTACTAAGAAGGGATCGATGGTGTGCCATGAGAGAAATGTAGGAGCGAAAGTAATATGATTCCGGCTTTTCTGGCAAATGATATGAAAAGCTGAGTTTCCAGCAATCTGGAAATTATTTTTATTAGAACATGATGAGGTTAAGTGCAACTCTGAGGTTACAGTTATAGCATCAACTTTTCTTTTATTAATCTAACCAGTGTAGGCAAACGATGATGAGCTCCATATGCTAACAACAGAGATACATTATATAGCATTCAAGTGAACCTGGCAAAAAATGAAAATGATCATGCATTTTGCAGTGTATCCTGTAATGTACTTGGTTGTTAGCATTGATGTAATCCCCTTTGGCAACAATAAATCTTAGATAAAGATTCATGTTATGATGCAATGAAAATGAAACCACTTACCAATACAGTAACCAGTTGTCATCTTGATTTCAAAGAGTGCAATGCTGGCTGTGTTTCCCTGTCCTAGTACACCTTCTATTAAAATCTGCACAACACATGGGGAAGAAGGGAAATTAGACTTAAAAACACCGTGTTTTCTTGGTTCAGTATTTAATCTATTAGTGAGGAGTTTTTAGCAGTTCAAGGTAAAGTAGGATTGTTAGTTTTAGCTGATTGCTATTAGATATATAATGTCAATTATTATAATGTCAATATAATTCTGAATTTTTAAAAAAATATTTACTCCCATTTGTTATTATTATTTTTTTAATTTGACCTGAGACACACACACACACACACACACACAGAGGGGGCGGGGAGTGAGAAAGCAAGCCATCAGGTACAGGACTCGAACTGCAGTCAGCCATGTGGGAATCCAGTGCCTTTAGCCACCATGCCACCTGCCAGCCCCAACTCTCAATTTTATTAAGAGAGAGAGAGAGAGAGAGAGTGTGTGTGTGTGTATAAGCACACGCATGTATATTCATAACTTGGAGATGAGCAAGGTGTTGGATACTCAGTTAGCTATCTGCTACGACCTTTACCAGTGCTTCTGGTAGCACGGATTGGCCATAGACAAACAGAATTTGTGTCCCTGGGGAAATCCATTCTGAGAATGGTCAGAAACTGAAGGCAGGAGAAAAAAATCCCTTGGAGGAGTTGGGAAGCACAAGCTGACATAGTGGTGGAAAATCTTCATATGAGATAGGGGAGGCTCCTAAATCAACTTGTAGTTTCTATTAAAGAAAAATTTGAAAATTTTACACAAATACAGAAGCACGAAAATGCATGCGACTGATTTAAAGGAATGTTATGGCTAACATTTGTTCCTATTTCTAAAAGTAAATAGCAAATAAAAAAATTAAGCATAAATACTATTCTTGTTTAGTTCCAGCCTGATATTTTGCAACTCCACTGATAGATTTAGGATGTGATAACTGTTAGGAGGACACTGTGAAATAGGCAACTCGGTTCCCCAGTGCTTCTTCCTTCAACTACTGTCCAGTGGGGAAGGACTCCAGAAAGATGAGAGGGAAAGGAGAGTATAGTATTTCAAAATTTTTGCAAGAAGAGGGATGAAGTAGGGAATTGGAAGCCAGATTAGGAATGGAGAAAGTTTTCATGAAGGCTCCACTGTGTCCCCAGTGTCATATTCTCAATAAATATCATATTTCATGGTCAAGGGTATCCAGATCCTATCCTCCTAGGTTACTCCAATCCACATCCAACTTCATCTTACATTCTCTGTCTTCCTTTACTAGAACTACTGGCAGAACAACTTCCCTCTTTGGAAAGAAAGCAAATGTGTCCTTTAAGTATCTTTTCTCTTTCTAAGAATTTTCATTTTTCCTTTTATTATAGTTAATGTTTTGTTCAAAATTTGTAGCAAGAAACCATTAACAAGATAACATAAATATATACTACACACAATTTAGATAGATGAGACAAAATAATAGTAAATGAGAATACTCCCAAAGTCATAGAAAACCTATTTTCATGAAGAAGTTGTTTTAAGCCCCATTTAGATTCTTACGGGAGTTTCATTTAATAGATAAGAAAGAAATCTGGAAAAAAGTTCTTTTAAGGAAATTAAATGTTAATTTACATCATTAATATTCTTCCATCATATGTCCTATGAAACATTACATCCTTTAACAGGAGATAACTAATGTTAATGGCAGATATTTCATAAGGTCTCAGAATAGCATAAAGCACGCATAAAAAAGCCTTTTTCTGCTGCACACACACCATTCTTCTGAATTCCACTTACCTTAAATTTCTTGGAACTATTTTGCAAATCTAGGCTGGCTATGAGCCAGCTGTCTGAAGGATCTTTAGCTGACCAAAGCAAGTGATCAAAGCTTTCATCTTCGAATCTCACATAAAGGTTCAGCTTGCTGGGATCTGATGGAGGTCCTGAAGAAGTGGCTATCTGGTAGACCAAGCGGAGGCAGCTCCATTCCTCAGCCTGTAAGTCAGAACTTAGCAGCACAGCTTTCTCCCCTTGCTTGGCAAAGGAGGTGTCCACATAAACATAATGGCCTGGAAAGAGAAAGTAACACAAGAAAGAGATCAATCCTCTGTTGTCAATTTGGAAAAATATACTGCTGTGGTTCAGTAAATCTGTGTGCAGATAGAGCGAGCAGATGCATTGTGTCAGTCCACTGAAGTTTGCCTAAACACTGGTTTTCTGGCCTCTGGTGAAAAATTAAAGTCTGGAAACACTGATCTGAGTAGAGCAACCTCTTCAGAGGGTGGCATGTACTCTCCATTGTGCTGTGATCCCCATTACTTACTTTTTCTTTTTTTTTTGTCTCTCTCATTTTTTTTTCTTTGCTATAGGGCACCTGTGCTCATCTGAGGAAGAGAGAGAGAGAGAGAGAGAGAGAGGGAAATCATCCCCCAAGAGAGATGGTCATACCACAATACTCTCTCCTCCATCTCTTCTTGGTATTTTGGGCACATATGCACACACGCCTGGCATGTTTTTCAAGCTGCCAGGTTTGAGACTCGAACCATTCAGTTGGCTATGTGGGTCCAGTGCCTTAACCTCCATGCCACCTACTGGTCCCAACCATTACTCCCTCTTAACTGATGACAATGAAGGCTAATGTCTTCACTGGCTTTTATTATCTTACTCCAGATCCACTTAGCACATTGCATCCATCCCCCTGGTCCTCATATACATATGAATTTTCAGGCTAAGGGCAATACGAGTAGGCAAGGCATCCAAGGCTGGAGTTAGAATATGATGAGAGACTTACCCTTCTTCCATCGCTCCTCTCATAGCTAATGATTTAATCTACATTTAGTTTTTATCATTATGTTAGACCTAACTGTCTGGTTGCCTTAGCCTGGTGATCTTAGCGCCCAGGTGGAGAAGTTTATTATAAGCTTTTTTTTTTTTTAATAAAAAAAAAAGGAATAAGATTCCCTTCCCTAGACTCTTACATAGGCAAGTTTCATAGTTTAGTAGCTAAATTAGAAAACATGTGGCACATCTTAGGAAACAATGAACACTTTGGGACAAGCAATCATGATTTCTTTTCCTCCAGTCCCTTTTCCTCTTCTCATTCTTTTGTTTCCCTTCCCTTCCTCTCTTGTCTTCTCCCTTTATTTCCTGTTTCTCCTGTCTTATTCCTTTCCTTTTCTCCTATCCCCCTTCTCTCCTCCTTCCCCTCTCCTTCTGTCCTTCATAAGTGGTATTGTGCTAGATGCACCAGAATGTCGAACAGCATTTCTGTGCAAAGGGTATAGGTTGGGAGGTGAATCTGAGAACCTTAACATGAGCCTTCCAAACCCAACTGTGGCCATCTGAATTCTTATACCAGTGATCTGATTGCCTGTGGGTCTTTGGTAGCCCCTTTTCTTTCTGGTGTTGCAGATTCTGCTTGCTTGGAAGATTCCACATTCATGGCCAGCATTTAACCTGCTGTGTTCCATCTTGACTGGGCACCCCAACCCCTGCAATATGGGCTCCCAACACTACATTCTTACTAGGAAGGTCTGGAAATGCTTCTTTGTTTTGCTTGATGATCTTCAGGACCTCTTCCCTATTGGACATTTATCCATCCCAACCAGGATCCTTATCTCTGTGCCAGTACTGGCAGGCCAGTAGCAGCTCAGCTGTTGATCATCCTCACATGTAGGACACAGGGCATTGTCTTCAGGGAGCCTTGCTTTCTGGCTACAGGTTTTCAAGATCAGGACTTATCTCTAGCTGGCAATCTTCTTAACACAGCAACCACCCACTGGGTGAAACTAGCAACTGCTTCTAGAGGCCAACCCATGTACCCCTATAGAGGGACCCTTACAGTGATTGCCACCACCATCATTACCTCCTACGTACAGTGAACACTCACTAGGAACCAAGAGTTATTCTAAGTGCTTCACGGGCATTTATGACCTTTGGAGCCTTTGGACTTTTAAGTTCTAAGCCAGGGCACTTGGTCTGACCTTTTTAAAACAAAACTGCTGCTTCATTGTGACATGAGGGAATGTGTAAACACCATCCTCTTTCTCACTGCCACTACCTCAGAAGAGTCTCTAAGCAGTCTGGTAGTGGGGTGGGAATGGGATTGGGGGTAATCCTGAGAGCACTTCAAACTACTTTTCTGAAGAAATACAGAGTTAGGGGAACCAGCAGTTAGTGTAATGGCTATGTCGCTGGACTCCCACGTAGTTGACTGCGGTTCGTGTCCCGGACCCAGTGGCTTAAAACTCACGCCGGGCGCGTGTGCATGCGTGCCCAGGATCCCGAGAGGAGAGTGGAGGAGAAGGGATTGCGGCGTGACCATCCCCCTGGGGGGTGATTTCTCACTTTCTGTCTCTATGTCTCTCTCTGTCTGTCTGGAGAGCGCACACGCCCTACAGTGAAAATCTCTCAAAAAAAAAAAAAAAAAAAAAAAAAATACAGAGTTAGGATATAGAATATAAAAGGAAAGAGAAAAGAAAGTCTCTGATGTGTCCAATCGACCCTTATAGAAAATACCAACTTTGCTGCTGCAAGTCTAGTCCTCCCTGTAGCACTTCCTTACCTTCTCTCATTATCCCATCCTCTCACTTTTCCTTCCTTTCCTTTCTCTAGAAGGGAACAACTCTTAGCAGCAGCTCAACCTTAAGTCCAGAGTCTCTTGGAATGTTTCTTATAGATTGCTGGCACCACTCCTAAAGTTTCTTTCTTTTTTTATATATATTTTTAATTTAACTTTATTTATTCATCCATTTCAGTTTGACCAGAGAGGGAAAGGAGAAAGCAAACCGCTAGGTCCAGGACTCAAACCATGGTTGGCCATGTGGGGATTCCAGCGCCCTTAGCTACCATGCCACCTGCCAGTCTCAACTCCTCAAGTTTCTGATCTGGTAGGTCTGGGTTCACACTGCCTTTCTAACAGGCTGCATTTCTGAGATGTTCTAGGTAATACTAAAGCCACTGATCTGGGGAACTCACTTTGAGAACCACTGACTTATAATGTCTGACAGAAAAATAGGGCTCATTCTCTAGGCAATTCTTATCTATCAAAGAAAGAATAGGCTGCTGTGACATGTAAAGAATTGAGACGAGAGACCAGCAGATGGCATAATGGTTACATCACTGGAGGTAACCACGTAGTTGATTGCAGTTTGTGTCCCAGACCTGGCAGCTTAAAACTCACATCAGGTGCATGTTCATACATGCCCAAAACCCTGAGAGGAGGATGGAGGAGATGAGATTGTAGCGGGGCCATCTCCCTTGGAATCAGATTTCTCACTTTCTGTCTCTCTGTCTCTCCAGTGAGCACACATGCCCTATAGCAAAATTCTCTCTTAAAGTACAAAAAAAAAAAAAAAAAAAAAAGGAAGTAAGAAGAAAGTTCTACTTAAAGGTAAAACTCATAACTCATATTTAAGTAAATCTGTATTATAACAGGCTTATAGAGTCCCTCTGCTGGTGGCTATTTTGACTTTTCAATGAATGTCATTAAAAAATAACCCTCTTGATACTCTATCAGATTTTACTGTGAGCACAAGCTACATTAAGTTCATGCGAAGAACTATTGAGAGCATATAAATGTATTATTTATAATACTTGAAGGTCTAGTTGTAGTTATGCAGGACGTAGGGTATCATTATGCGATTTTTGAATCATATGGGAGGCCCAGGTTCAGATCCCAGGTCAACCTGAACATATTGGGCATGTCTGCATGTGTCTGAGATACTGGTTGGGAAACTGATGTTTTTGCCTTGGCAAGACCCTGTTGAGAGTACCTGTCTCTCTCTGTTTCTTTCTTTCAAATAAATAAAAAAAAAAAAAGATTAAAAACATACCTGGATGTTAACTGTAGGATGAAAGTCGATGCTATTTATTGAGTGATTTTTACATCTCAAGCATAAATATTGGCTATTTCACAATATTTAGATTTTTGCATTTAGATTGCTGACTCCACATTTGTCTATAGGTTATGCTATGTGAGTGGGCCTATTAATTACATTACAGTGCATCCAAAGATTTATCTATTCCACTAATCTTGCATACATTCAGCAGAATAATGCATTGTCCTAGATAAATAAGCAGTCCAACTCATTTCCACTACCATTGCTAAGTTTAAGACAAACTTTGTGAGTTAATCACTACATTTTTCATGCCCAGCCTGGATGTATCAGTGACTAATGAATAGACATAAAACATCTTTCATGTACTTATGGTTCATTTATATATCTTCTATATTTTTTGTTCATTTAAAAAATCGGTCAATTTCTTTTTATTGTGGAGTTTAGAAAAGGGCTTACACTTCAGGATACTAGATCTTATCAGATGTGTAATTTGGAGAAATGACATCTTGTTTCATCTTTTCATTTTCTTGAATATCCTCTTTAAAGCACAACTTTTTTTTTTTGAGAGGTTTTTGTTATAGGGTGTGTGCACTCGCCAGAGATAGAGAGAGACAGAGAGATAGAAGACGAGAAATCAACCCCTAGGGGGGATGGCCATGCTGCAGTCCCTTCTCCTCCATTCTCTTCTCGGGATCTTGGGCACACACACGCAAACACCTGGCGGGAGTTTCAAGCCACTGGGTCCGGGATGCAAACTGTGGTCGACTACGTGGGAGTCCAGCAACATAGCCATTACGCTAACTGCTGGTTCCCTATTTTGAAATTTTTTTTGCATATTGAATTGATTTGCCACTCTTGTTGAAAATCAATTAAGTATACATACAGGGTTTCTCTCTGGAATCAATTATATCCCACTGATCTGTGTTTATCCTTATGCCTATACTGTTTTGATTACTATATATTTGCAGTAAGTGTGAATTCCTTTAACCCAGTTTTTCTTTTTCAAGATCATTCTGACATTCTGGACCCCTTGTATTTCCATATAAATTTAAAATTCAGGATGGACATAGATTAGTTAAAACACCACAGAACTCACTACTCTTACAGATGCTCAATCATTTTTCTTTAATACTCCCTTCTGAATGTTGCAAGTCTTCGGTTAATTTTTCAGAGTTTTTTTTGTTTATTTGTTTGTTTGTTTTGTTTTGTTTTGTTTTTCTGCCATAGGG